AAAAGACTTACTGATTACCATCAGTTACAAATGGATTTTATTTTGTTTTTTGTAGTGACGAGGTTTCACTATGTTATCCAGGGGGGTTGCAAACTCCTGGCCTCAAATTATCCATCTTCCTACCATAGCCTCCCAAAGTGCTGGGACTGTAGGCATGAGTCACCCTGCCTGACCACAAGTCAATTTTTAAAGAAAACATAGGGACAGTTCCTGAGTAGTTGACTAAGAATTTACATTCAAATAACATAAGCTATTGATTAGCTATAGAATGTTTTTTGTATCACACATTGTAGGATTGTGAAGATAACAGGTGAGGCAGCTCCTCAGAACCAAAAAGACTTTAAACAATTGCCCCAGAGCATGAGGGAGAGGGCATGACTAAAGTCCTAGACTCTTGTCTCTCTGGGCCTTCAGAGTTCACATCACTTGGACGGCCCTGAGGTATTTTTATTTTCTCAGATGGTAAAGGAGAGGTATAATAAATATCAATTTTACTCTCAGAACTTAGTGTGGTAGGACAGCTGTATTGCATTCCATTAAACTGCATTTTTGTTGGGGTTTTTTTTCTACTCTTTTTAGAGATCCTTTCCAAGTTCACCTCTCTTTGCCAATGCCAGCACCTTCATAACAGGTCTTTATTGAATTTTCTTCCTTTCCTGTCTCAGTCTCCCTACTTTTATTGCTTCTGTTTGGAATTATTTTCCAAAGAAACTGTCACAAATTAAGTCTTTATCTCGGGTTCTACTCTTGGCAAAATCCAAATCAAGGCAAGCACTATTTTTATACATTTTATAAACACATATACTTTTGAATGTAATACCTACATAATATGATTTTTAAGTAAAATTATATTTTGGAAAAAAATACTGTGCTTATGGCAAGTTGCTTCTGTCTTGACAAAGTCAACCTTAAATTTTCCCTCAGCTCCATCAGACTTTAGACCCCTTCTCTCCAAGTCTCAAGGCCCCTGAACTCCCTTTCCTTAAGTTAGAAAACTTGTAATTGCAAACTCTTTATTTGCCCCTTTGAGATGTAAATCTTATTCCAGCCTCTGGCCAGTTTTACAACCCAGGAATGTCTTTCTGCAAGACCAGAAGCCATCCTTTGAAATGTAATCAACAAAGTAAATAGTGTCTCTTTCTCCTAATCTCTGAGGGAGCCTAAAAGCCTAAAGGTTATGGGTGTCTTGCTCCCAATTGTAAAAATATCTGATGCCATTAAGACAGGAGAAAGTTTACTATTCTTTTAGGTGTGGCCAATTAGCAAATACAAGTGGCATAAGATTGGGCCCCACCAGCTCTTAAAACCTCTCCAACCTCTTGTTTCAGCTTGGTTGAGTTCAGACTGAGTTCCGGTTTCTTCCTGCTATTGCATTAGTCTCAAATAAAGTCTTTCATAACCGTTTAACTTTGTCCAGTGCAAAGAAATCCCAATCTTCTACTATGAACAGGAACTGTCACATATTTTTTCTCCTACAAGACCCTGCACAAGGCCAGGGCACGGTGGCTCATGCCTATAATCCCAGCAGTTTGGGAGGCCGAGACGGGCAAATCACAAGGTCAGGAGATCAAGACTATCCTGGCCAACATGGTGAAACCCTGTCTCTACTAAAGATACAAAAATTAGCAGAGTGTTGTGGCCCATGCCTGTAATCCCAGCTACTTGGGAGGCTGAAACAGGAGAATCGATTGAACCTGGAGGCAGAGGTTGCAGTGAGCCGAGATTATGCCACTGCACTCCAGCCTGGCGACAGAGTAAAACTCCATCCAAAAAAGGAAGACCCTGAACAAAAGTCTGTTTACCATTATCTCTTCTCTGCCTATCTCAGCTCTTCCAAGCCTCAGTCTTACTGTAGCCAGAGTTACATGCCTGCATGCAACATTTCAATGCTAGGAAATCCCTTGTTCATGAGGTAAAGTTCAAAATTAGCATGATTTGCATAATTTTGCAAGATCTAACCCTACCTTGCCTTTCTAGAATCTTCAGTGATCATGCTCCATCTCAAAATATACACATGAAGAAAGTTGCACAAATATATTATCTTGGCACATACTGCTTTTTCCATCTGGAAAACTTTTCCTCTCCAATGTTCTTTTGAATCCCATCCTTTAGATCTCAATATTTCCTTTGAGAAGTTTTCTGAACTGCAAGTCTTAATTAGATGCTGTCTTATGTATCTCTGAACTTTTCCTATTTTTATTTTATTTATTTATTTATTTATTTATTTTTGAGACAGATTTTTCACTCTTGTCGCCCAGGCTGGAGTACAATGGCACAATCCAAAATCGGCTCACTGCAACCTCCACCTTCCAGATTCAAGCGATTCTCTTGCTTTAGGCTCCCAAGTAGCTGGGATTACAGGTGCCTGCCACCATGCACGACTATTTTTTGTATTTTTAGTAGAGATGGGGTTTCACCATGTTGGCCAGGCTGATCTCGAACGCATGACCTCAGGAGATCCACCCGCCTCAGTCTCCCAGAGTGCTGGGCTTAGAGGCAACTTTTCCTATTTTAGCACTTCATCTTTACTATTCCCTATGGGCTTATTTGTCTCCCAGCCACATCCACCCTTCTGTTCAAACTATGAGTATCCTACTGCCCAGCATATAGTAAGCACAAGATAAGTATTTGCCAAATGAATGATTAAGAACCTTCATTTTTTAAATCATAGTCACATGCTACCTTTGGCTGATTGATGTTTCATCTAATAGACAAGTCATCAAAAATAATAGAAGGAAGAAAAATAAGCTTCACTTGAGAAAACATATTTCCAGTCTGGAAGAAACAAATGAAGATTTGAGGAGGCTTTATTTTTATTTCATTCCTATGCTTTTCTAGAAATTATTGAAAACATTGACATTTACTTTCTGGTGTCTGATTTATGTAATTTTTCCTAATACAAGAAAAGGTGTTTCCCAAAGGAGAAATCACCCACTGAAGCAGAGGGCCAGGACTCACCTTTCTGATTTATAAGACCCTTGGAGGCTATGAATTCCACCTGCTAGTGAAGAAATCAATTTTTTTTTTTTTGGATACAGGAAAGAAAAAAAAATTCAGATCACAAAAACTTAAATCTATCAGAGCACTGGTTCCCATAAAGTGATAGGAAAGTCTTTGAAAACCATAGTAGCAATTAGTTAATGTCAGGTCATTAAAAATTACATGGCACATTCATATACCTATTTTTTTTAATGCTGTAACCAGATTGTGAGATTTACATTATCATTTACAGATAAGGAAATAGGGCTCAGGTAATCTGTAAGGCATGGCCTTAGGTCAACCAGAGGCTCTGGCAATGGCCTCCACTCTCTGACTGCTGTTTATTCAAAGGAGTTGTGACTGATCCTCTTCCTCCATCCAAAATCTACATGTCCATGATTAGGTTGTAAGAGAGGTGCCCACACTCATCCTCAGGTTGCCTGTGAGCAGATGTACTTGATATCCTCATAATGGCTCAGTTTAAGAAGTAGATGGCTCTTCCTCCCAATATGTGGAGAGTTTTTACCATCTGCCACAAGAAGCACACATATGGCCCCTCTGAAAGGCTGAAAGCAGCCTTCCACTTGGTGTCAGGTCAAATGATCATGCAGAATTGTTATAAAGATTGAGAGCCTTCAAAGGCCAATCCAGATTGCCACCATAACTTTTGTTTACAACAGCAATGGGTACCATAGGCAGAAAAGAAAGTACAGAGGTGGGAGAGAGATAAGCAACCCCACAGACACAAGGAAGAGTCATTTCTGATGTCATTAGGTTGTGGTTTTTTTGCTGATAAATGCTCATCATGGTGTGGAGTGGAGGCTGAGGAACTGCATCAGACTGTCATGAGTCACAAGCAGTGTGTTTTTTCACAAATTAGTGTATACTATGTACTTATACAGTCAGGAGAAACAGACATGACCAAAGATTGGGGAAATTATACACCCACAATTTGTGCTTGATGGATTTTTACCTCTTGTTTTACTTCATCTTCTTCCCTATCTCCTGCTTCCCACAAACCTCTGTTATATACAGGGTTTTTTTTTTTTTTTTTTGCATATTATTACTATATATCACTTACTGAGTTTTCATTTATGGGTACTCTGATAAATATTGTGTTTTGGTTTTTTATTAAATTCTCCGCAACACTGTGAAGTGATGTTAGTAAATCTCTCATCTCACAGAAAAGGAAATTGAGGCCCAGAATGTTAGAAAACTTGGCCAAGGCAACATAACTAGTAAATATTAGGAAAAGGCTTTGAACATGTATTAGACTCTTCAACACTCATGCAGTAATATTATCCAGAAGTTTCCTCTAAGATGACCAATTCCTGACTATGATATTACTTTGATTACAAGTGTATATATTTTGCTAACCAAATATGATTTGATTTTAATAGGCCATAATGACATTCCCTCCAAGAGATACATTTCTATTGGAGAAAATTTAGGCATTAAGGGCAAGAACAGTATCTATTTCCAGCACTAGGCATATTGATGCCTCTTCATATGGTGGAGATCTATGTTTCAAGTTGTGGTATGTGAAGTATTAATCACTCCAGTTGGATCTGGAATTGGAATGCTTATCTAGAGCTCAGCTCAGTACTGAGATGCACAATAACAAATTTTTTCTTTCTATCAGACAAACTTCCTGCAAACCTTTGCTGAATGTGTGAGGTGCTGGGTTAGGTGGTTTGGTAGACATACACGTGATTCATATAAAGAACTGGGAGCTCAGAACAAAAAATGAAATGTCTACATATATAATTTGCACAATATTGTAAATAAAAATGCTAAAAGGAAAGTTTAGATAAAGAATAGTGAACATTCAGGATAAGGTAACATTACTTTTGAAGTCACATTTGTAATGGATGAGAAAGTGATTTTAGAGCCACACAGACCTTTTGTAGGAAAAAAATCATGTCAAGTGAAACAAGTCACTTAATCTCATTGTGCTAGATGTTTTATCCATAAAATGAGGATTAAATTTATTTTTTTATGTTAGACATATCTGTTTTATAGATGTAGATATCTATACATATCCACACATACATTATAGTATGTGGCTTAAGGTAAGAACTCTGTAAATAATGTTTTACTTTCAGTGGTGGGATAAGAGAAGAGACCAGAGACAAATAGCAAAGTAAGGAGTCTGATAAGCTCAGGAGAGTTTGTCAGAGCCAAGATGTGTTTGTTAGACAGGAAGAAGGAGAGAGAATGAATCTAGGAAGAGTGAAAATCCTAAGTGATGCTAAGGGGAAAAAAATGCTGTGAGTTGGATTTTCAAGATAAGTCCTTTCTGCATTTGTTAGTACAAAGGTAAGTCAATTTGGAATGACAGTTTAGAACCAATTCAGAGAGGACACAGCAATAGACTAAAGAGTTTAGAAATATTCGTGAATATCTCAGAGACTCACGGAAGCCTCTGGGTGAAGCATAGGGATGTCACCTCATGATCATGTATATCCTTCTGGGAAACTATTTTTAAAAGCGAAGTCAATAACTGGTTAGAAGAGGAAAGTACTGTAGCCCAGGAGATCATGATAGTAGTCAGAGCATTGATCTAGGCAAAACTATTGAATGAGTAAATTTGGGAAATGACCTTGTCAATGAAATAATTAGGCCAGGATAAGATAGCTGTTGGGAAGAGTGGTGTAGTGCTCAGATCAAAGATGACACTGGCATTTTGATACTAAAAGATTGGGAATGTAGGGGGATGTTTAATAGAAAATTATTTTGGAATATACAGTAAGATAAGAGGAAATGATCTGTTTCGGGGTTTGAATTTTCAAGTTCCAGAGAAATTTTTTAAAGTAAGAGAAAGGCAGGAAAAAAAAACATCTTTTTAGCTTGGGAGAGAGGCTGAAGCTCTAAAAACAGGCTGTGTTTCTGATTTGCATAGAGGTCATAATAGAAGCTGTAGAGTTATGTGAGGAAATAATAAAAAGTGATTTATTTAGGGACAGGTCCATAGAGCCTGACATTGGAAATGCAGAAGGATAAAAGATTTGAGAGTGAAAATAATCTTAGAAGTCAGATGAAAAGCAAAAGATAGAACATGCTGGGAGCTAATGTAAGTGTAAATCAAGAGGGATTTTTAAAAGTTGGATAAAAACCAGAAATGATCAAGACACCCCAGATAGTCATCACATTTGGTGGGGACTAAACTTTACAGAGAACTATTACCGACTAATGATATACAAGGCAAATTATAGGATGCAGGAATAAGTGGGTGAAGAGTACATAGAAATAATTAGTATAGAACAATAGTTCTCAACTGGAGGTGATTTTTCTCCCAAGAGATATTTGGCACTATCTGGAGATGTACTTGGCTATCACAATGGCGGGGTAGGGTTCTGCTAGTGACACCTAGTGAGTAGAGCCCAATGATGGTGTCAATCATTCTATAACACACAAGACAGCCCCCCCAACCCTGACATCAAAGACTTATTTGGCCCCAATGTCAATAGTGCTGAGGCTAAGAAACTGGTATAGAATGAAGGGAGAGTTGTTGGGAGCTTGGGAGAACAAGATCAAAGATGACTCTCTTATTGTGCCATTAGGTAATGTTTGCAGGTGTAGGTGAAGGAAAAATTTTCAACTGAGAAGTTGAGGAAAGTAAGTGTTCAATTGAGAAGAGTTTTAATTGGTGGAATATTCCAGATGAGTTGGATATGAGATCAAATCAAGGACATGATTGGAGAACTTTGCCTTAAAGGGGTTTGCTTTCTCTAAATTGCCTAATCCAACAATATTTCAACAACACCTATCTGTTCACTGTTCACTCTTTTGACTATTATTTCCCTCACTTTCTTATTTTTCTTCTCATCCAACTTAAATTCTGTAGTCATCATTATAACCACTCTTGCAAACAACCATAACTTCCAGAACCTCTACTTTGTATATTACATTCAATATACTTTGTATATTACAATACCACCAAATATTAGTAAAATCCTATTGGTCCCACTTTTTACTTAGGATGTCAAATTTTAAAATGGGATCTTAACACTGTCCAACTTCTTATCCATAGAATGTTTACACTTCCACTTTCTGCAATGATTATTTTATAATTATCTCTTTAAACTTACTTTACCTGTTTACCTTCCTTAATCTCAGATGATGATGTAGCCCCAAACTTCACTTATAAAATAGGAACAGACAAAAATTTCTTAAGTTTCTATCACTAGTCTGTCACTTAACCTGCATCTACTCCCAAATCTCTGCCTCTCCTCTAGTTACAACAAAATAAATACCCTTACCCTCATCAAAGGCCAAGCCCTTTACTTGCTCCTGGTTCCCACCTCCTTGTATGTATATATACACATTATTACCTTCATGATACTCCTCATTATCTAAAATTTTCATATTAATAGATTTGTTTTTAAAAGTTTATCTTTTTATATTTAGAATTTAATTTCTAAAGAAGCAGATAATTTTCCTTTTTCCCCTCTGGCATCCCAAGAAGCTAGACCAGTATCTGGACAGAATAGGTTCTTATTTATGTGCTTAATGAAAAATATACCAAAAAAGGGAGAAGAAAATAATTACATATTTCTCTTCATTGGAAAGGAAGTCTGAAAGGATATATTTTCAGCACGATTAAAGTGGTAGATATTCAAATTATTTTACCTCTATTTTGGGACTGTGTCTTATTCATCTGAGTCCCTTCCAACTATGACAATGCCTAATTCACAATGGAAATGTATTCAATATATTTTTAAGGAACCAGAAAATCAGGGGATGTGGTCTTTTGCAGATGTCAGGATGGAAGCAGCAAAGTTAAAGCCTCAAAAATAAGGGCCATGGGTAACTGAGAGACCTCAGGTAAAGAAAATGCAGTTGAGTTGAATATCATGGATCTGTAATAAAGTCACAGCACCAGGAACCCTTAATGTACAAAGGTCATCAGTCTAGGAATACTTGACTATCTCCAAACAACCCAGCATGCTTGACATAAGGGAGCTCTTAATAAGGAGCTACAGCTTAAGGACAATATACTTTTTCCATTAACAATCTATAGTTCCCTTAACACCATTCATTTGAAAAGCCTTTAGAGTAAACAGAATCATCTTTGTCTCTGGAGTCAATCTCAGCCTAGTAATCATTTGCCATGTGCAGGACTAGAGGCGTCTGTGAGGTGTCTGTGTGTATCAGCATCAAGCATGGCCTTCACATATGTCCGCCCAAGAGTTGGCAGTAATTGGCATGTGGAGAGGAAGCACTGGCCCTAAAGACTGAACAGTCCCTTATCAAAAATGTACCTGCCAGACAAAATTGAGGCCTGGCTGCAAAAACTGGAAAGAAGAGAGCATGTTTTGTCTCTTGAAACATTTTCAAAAAGAGTAGAATTCTTAACAGTTGGCAAAGTTACCCCAGTATTATGAATTATTTGGACTCAAAGAACATTGAACTCGATAGAACAGTAGCTTGAAACTTTATGATTGTCATCTATTATAGACTGAATGTTTGTGCCCTTCAAATTCATATGTTGAAATAGTAACCCCCAATGTGATGATATTTGGAGGTCGGCCCTTAGAGAGATAATTAGGATTAGATTACACCATGAGGTTCAGGTCCACATGAATGGAATTCATACCCTTATAAAAAGAGAAGGAGACACAGGATCAATCTCTCTCTCTCTCTCTCTCTCTCTCT